ATGTCTCTCCTGACGAACTATCGCGGTTTGACATCCATACCAGCTGGACGAAATAAATACAACTCGGTGGCTTTTCTTCAACTTCGATGAGTTTTTATTGGGAAAAATCTGGGGGAAATTCCATTGGCTCTTTCCCTTGCTCGCCAGAGTTCCGGATCCTCTGGTGGGTCTAAGGGCTCCTCTCTCCTGGGTGGGAGCCTCTAAATTCTAGCTCGATATCATTGGTAGCCCACTAAATATGTCCAATATGTCAGAGTTTGGGAGTGCGCAGCAGAAGGATTGCTAGATCAGCAGACACTGTGTTGTAAAATAAGGACTGCAGTCTTTTAGTTACAAAAGAAACTAAGTTTACTAAGCACATTCAAAAGACACGTCTTACTACAGCGAGCTACAATTCAGGAACTAGTCAAAACGAAAGTCTCTTCACATCTGCTTATCTCTTCTTGCTGAGACTAGTTACTCCCTTCTGTTCCCAGCAAGAGCAAGCATTATCCTACTTCTCTCAAGGTTACATAATCACAGCCTCATAGAATAAACATCCTGCACAGCATTTCTAATACACAGTGGAATCCATCTTGGAAATACATAGAAGCACATTTAAAACACATACATAACTAAATTAATCCTGACACAATAGACATCTATCCATACACATAATAAAGGTGAAAATATGTGTGTGTGGTTGGGGTGTCCATTTACACAGACAGGCTCCTTCCTCCACAAACAGCTATAGCTCCCACTACTCTGGGGACACCAAAGGCCGACCCTCCAATGACATTGCAGGTTATAGTGAGCGCAGTGAACATGTCCAAGAGCCCTGCCAATGTCCTCCACCAGCACCACACTGCCCACCACCCAAGTGAAGGCTTTCATTTGGGGACAATTTCACCCTATATTTCATGTGTTTCCTCCACCACAGCCATCCCAGTGTTTCTTATTCTCTTCATTGGGGTGGAATTTGCATGACCCTGCCCACTGCCTCTCCCTTAACACTTTCCTATTATTTTCTATGCCACACAACAGAGGAACTGATCAGCAACTGAACATACTAGAGAGGTTTGGGGATAAATCACCAAGATTTATCGGAATTGTAGGTCCTGGGGTGTATAGTTCACCTGCAATCTAAGAGCACTCTGAACTCCACCAATAATGGACCTGGAACTTACTTGGCACAGAGAAGCCCCATGATCAATGAGAAAAAAATACCGGAGGTCTTTGGAGCGATTTAGAGGAGTTGTAATTTACCTACATCCAGAACGCACTATGCATCTGGACCAAACTTGGCACACATACCTGATATGCCGAAATTTGATTACTGGAGGGGTTTGGGGAAAATGACCTTCCTTTTGGGAGTTGCAGTTCACCCACAACCAGGGAAACGGAGACGTCGGCCAATGATGGACCTGGACCACACTTGGCACTCAGAACCCCTATGACTAACTCAACCTACTGTAGGGGTGTGAGGGCACTGACTCACCATAGTGGGAGTTGTAGTTCACCCTACAGCCAGAGAGCACACTGAACCCCACCAATGAGGCATCCAGAGCAAACTTGCCCAACAGGGAAAAAATTTGCCCTGCCCTATTCTTCCGGATTTGATTTTGTTTTGCCTCTCCCAGAACCTTTTCTGGCAGTTCCTGTTATAATTTGAGACATTTAATACCAGCTGATTAGGTTACTTTATTTTTTCAAACTTGAGCCCCTGGTGGTGCAGCGGGTTAAAGTGCTGAGCTGCTGAACTTGTTGACTGAAAATTTGGCGGTTCGAATCTGGGGAGCGGGGTGAACTTCCGATGTTAGCCCCAGCTTCTGCCAACCTAGCAGTTTGAAAACATGCAAAGATGAGTAGATCAATAGGTACTGTTTTGGCAGGAAGGTAACGGCACTGCATGCAGTCATGCCGGCCACATGACCTTGGAGGTGTCTATGGACAACGCTGGCTCTTCGGCTTAGAAATGGAAATGAGCACCAACCCCCAGAGTCAGACACGACTGGACTTAATGTCAGGGGAAACTTTTACCTTTACCTTTACTATAAAATCAGGAAAAAAGGAGGAACAAAATCTGGGATTTTTCAATGAACTGGAGCCCCATCTACACTGCCATATAATGCAGTTTGAAACTGTGCTATATGGCACAGTGTAGACTCAGCTCAATGCTGTGTCAATTCTGTATTGGTGTCTGGTGCAAGTTTTTATATTTTTGTGTTTTTATCTACATAATTTATTGTATATATTTTATGTTCATATGTTTTTGACTTTGGCCTTCAGCCATCAGGAGTTTGTTTCTTGTTGTTCTATTCATCCAGTTGCTACCGACTCTTTGTGACCCCATGGACCAGCCCACGCCAGAGCTCCCTGTCAGCCGTGGCCACCCCTAGCTCCTTTAGAGTCAAGCCAGTCACTTCAAGGATGCCATCCATCCATCTTGCCCTTGGTCGGCCCCTCGTCCTTTTTCCTTCCATTTTCCCCAGCATCATTCTCTTCTCCAAGCTTTCCTGTCTTCTCATTATGTGGCCAAAGTACTTCATCTTTGCCTCTAATATCCTTCCCTCCAGTGAGCATCTGGGCATTATTTCGTGGAGTATGGACTGGTTGGATCTTCTCATGGTCCAAGGTGCTCTCAGAATTTTCCTCCAGCACCACAATTCAAAAGCGTCTATCATCCTTCACTCAGCCTTCCCTATGGTCCAGCTGTCGCATCCATAGGTTACTGCAGGGAATGCCATTGCTTTAACTATGCAGATCTTCGTTGCCAGTGTGATGTCGCTACTCTTCACTATTTTATCGAGATTGGTAATTGCTCTCCTCCCAATTCTGATTTCCTGGCTGCAATCTGCATCTGCAGTCATCTTCGCACCTAAAAATACAAAGACTGTTACTGCCTCTATGTTTTCCCCCTCTGTTTGCCAGTTATCAATCAGTCTGGTTCTCACAATCTTGGTTTTTTTGATGTTTAACTGCAACTCAGTTTTTGCACTTTCTTCTTTCACCTTGGTTAGAAGGCTTCTCAACTCCTCCTCACATTCAGCCATCAAAGTGGTATTATCTACATATCAGAGGTTGTTAATGTTTTGTCCAGCAATTTTAACTCCAGCCTTGGATTCATTAAACCCCGCACATCGCATGATGTGTTCTGCATACAAGTTGAATAGGTCGAATGAGAGTATACAGCCCTGCCATACTCCTTTCCCAATCTTGAACCAGTTTGTTGTTCCGTGGTCTGTTCTTACTGTTGCTACTTGGTTATTATACAGATTCCTCAGGAGATGGGCCAGGTGGCTTGGCCTCCCCAGACCACCAAGAACTTGCCACAATTTATTATGATCCACACAGTCAAAAGCTTCAGAATAGTCAATAAAACAGGAGGAGATGCCATCAGGAGAGGTGGTAATAAATGAAATGTATTGCGTATTATTATTACTCTGCATTATATGGTCCGTAGAGACTGATACCATGCAGTTTAACTGCATTAAAGCAACACTGACCATAAATGTAATATAATATAACTTTATTTATACCCCACCACCATCTCCCATAGGGACTCGGGCAGCTTACAAATAGCACACAATGGTGCCATACAACATATAAAATACAATATATCAGCATTAAAACCAATAAACAATTAAAAAGACATATAAAATTAACAAGAGCAGTAGAATCAATAAAATATGGCAATAGCCATTGATTAAAGGATCCATACAATCAATTTAGCCTTCCCTGGATAAAGATAGTAGTCTGGCTGCGATCTTAAATGTTATCAAAGGCCTGCTCAAAGAACCAGGTTTTTAGCTCTTTCCGAAACAACTTGCCTAAGTTTCCTGGGGAGGGCGTTCCAGAGCCAGGGAGCCACCACTGAGAAGGCCCTCTCTCTCATCCCCACCAACCGCGCTTGAGACGGAGGTGGGACCGAGAGATAGGCCTCCCCGGAAGATCTTAGACCTTACACTGGTTTGTAGATGTGGTCACGAAGATAGGCTGGACCCGAACCATGTAGAGCTTTATTGGTAATAACCTGCACTTTGAACTGGACCCAGAAACTTATTGGCAGCCAGTGGAGATGCTTCAATAAGGGCATGGTATGCTCCCTATACCTAGTCCCAGTTAGTAATATGGCTTCCGACCTTTGCACTAATCACAGTTTCCGAGCAATCTTCAAAGGCAGCCCCATGTAGAGTGTATTGCAATAATCCATTATAGATGTAACCAAGGCATGGACCATTGTGGCCAAGTCAGGCTTCTTGAGATACGGTTGAGAAGCAACTTGTGCACCAGCTGCGACCGTACCTCGAAAAGCCTGACTTGGCCACAGTGGTCCATGACCGTTACAGCGGCCAAGCACCGGTTCAGGAACTGAACAGCCTCCTTAGAAGAAGGTGGGAAGGAGTCACAGAGTTGGACATCATCCAGGTACAAATGACAAAGAACTAAAGAACTGTCTCAATGTGTGGGATATATCATGAGAAGGTTCGATTATTTGGTGAGAAAACAAGAATAAGGCCTGTGAGGTTGCCCAGCCTGAAATGACAGTGGTTGACTAGGCCTCTTGGGAGGTTTTTCATTCATAAACCTGTCAAAAATGATGAGCTCTCCTTAGAAGCCAAAAGGATACAATTGTTATTTTGGAGATATGCAGAAACTTTCATATACTGTCAAGGAGCTGGGCCTCTATCTCTCTCTGCCCCAAGTTCCCCACTGTCTCATAGTGCCTTGAGTCCCCACGACGCATGCGCGCTCCCTCTCGGCCCTGACGCCACCTCCCCTCCCTCAGCAACACGCGCCTGCCAACGCCGAAAGGCCCCGCCTATCCCTGCTCTCTGATTGGCCGCGCTCCCTCCCTCGCGCCCAATCCCGCCCCTGCGTCAGAGCTCGCGCTGGGACCCGCCCCTTTTTTTGTTTGAACCACCCCCTCCCTTCTTTTCCTGAGGGGAGAGGCGGGGCTTGTTGGTTGCGAACCAATCCGCGCTCCCCAGGCTGCCTCGCGCTCGCTGCCCCATTGGCTGAGCCGGCCGCCCGTCCACGGGTTCGGTTGAGCGCGAGCTAGAGTGAGTGTGTGTGTGTGTTGTGAGGAGGCGAAGGCGGTGTCGGCGAGGTTGGGTTGGCGGCGTTGGGGGCTGCGTGAGGCGGCGGGGCCGTGCAGGCGAGGCCGAGGCCTGGGGCAAGGCCTAGTCCGTTTCTGCTGGCCTTCCTCCCTCTCGCCGCTGCCGCCGCCGCCATGACGCTGGAGTCCATGATGGCCTGTTGCCTCAGCGACGAGGTGAAGGAGTCGAAGCGCATCAACGCCGAGATCGAGAAGCAGCTGCGGAGGGACAAGCGCGACGCCCGGCGGGAGCTCAAGCTCCTCTTGCTCGGTGAGGCGGCCTGTCAGGCGGCAGGAGAAGAAGGGAAAGGGAGGGAAGCAAGGCAGGGAAGGAAGGCAGGCAGGCCCCAAGTAGGTTGCTATACTAACACATACACATACATATATATGTCTTAATATCGCAACCTGTATCATATTGCGTTATCTATATATATTACAATATCATGATAGATATAATTACAATATCGTATATCATATAGGTATATATAAATTAGATATTAGCATATATTTGAATCCCGCTTATATGTTAATATAGTATATAATAATCTATTCGTATATATAATAGTCATACATGTGTATATAACAGTATCAGGATATAATATAGATTATTACAATTAAATCATAATCTAGAGGTATATATAACATTAGCATATTTATTTGTATCTTGCTGTTATGTTATAATATATAGTCGTCGATTGGTATACATAATAGTCATATACTGTAACAATATCAGGATATAATCTATATTACTACATTATATATCATAATCTATAGTTAAATATAAAATAGATATTATTAGCATATTTATTTGTACCCCACTTTTATGTTATTGTATATAATCTATTGTTATATATAAGTCATATATATCTTACAGTATTAGGATATAATAGATATTATTCGCATATTTATTTGTATCCCGCTTTATTGTTCTTACTAGCTTGGGTACTCTGCATTGTCCGGGTTATTTGAAAAAGTCAAAATTTTAATTGTACAAAATGCGTAAGGTTGTGGGTGAACGACAACTCCCATCATGCCATGTTAACCCGGAGAAACTTCATCAGTACTTAAAGTTGGTTATGTTGGGCAAGTTTGGTCTAGATGCATCATCGGTGGGGTTCAGTGTGCCCTCTGGTACAATTACCACCATGGTGAGTTGGTCCTCTCAAACCCCTCCAGTTAGTCATGGGGGTTCTTTGTGCCAAGTTTGGACCAGGCCCATCATCAGTGGAGGTCACAGTTTCTCTGGTTGTGGGTGAACCACAATTCCCAGAAAGGAAGGTCATTTACCCCCAAACCCCTCAAGTAATCAAATTTCGGCATATCAGGTATGTGTGTCAAGTTTGGTCCAGATCCATCGGTGTTTGGGTTCACAGTGCTCTCTGGATGTAGGTGAACCTCAGCTCCCCAAAATCAAGGTGAATTTCCCCCCAAAGACCTCCAGTATTTTTTGCTGGTCATGGGGGCTCTGTGTGCCAACGTTGGTCGAATTCCATCTTTGGTGAAGTTCTGAGTCCTCATTGATTGCAGGTGAAGTGTGTATCCCAGTACATACAACTTCAAAACGGCCATGCCAATTCCCCTCAAAACCCACCAGTATTCAAATTTGGGCACATTGACTGTGCATGCCAAGTTTGGTTCAGATCCATCATTGTTTGGGTTCATAGTGCGCTCTGGATGTATTATTTACAACCGCCTTGAGTTGCCTCCGGGTTGAGAGGGGCAGTATATGCATATGGTAAATAAATAAATAAATTTACTGTATTTATATACTGCCTTTCTCACCCCGGGGGTGGGGGAGCAAGGCGGTTTACAACATACTAATGGCAAATATTTAATGCCAACATAAAGTACACAAAGAAATGATAATAACGAATTACTACATATAACTATGAACTTAAAATCACAGAAATTGTATAGCCATTTCAAATTGACATTGCACATGGTCCTTAATTATTCTTTGCACTGCATTATTTATTAGCCAAAGGCTTGATCCCACAACCACATTTGTAGGTGAACTACAACTCCTATAAATCCCTCCAAAAATCTGCAGAATTTGTTCTTGGTCATGGTGGTTCTGTGTGCCAAGTTAGTTCCAGGTCCATCATTGGTGGAGTTCAGAGTGCTCTTAGATTGCAGGTGAACTATACATCCCAGGACCTACGACTCCTATAAATCATGGTGAATTCTCCCCAAACCTCTCTAGTATATTAAGTTGCTGATCAATTCCTGTTTGTTGTGTGCCATAGAAAAGAATAGGAAAGGGTTAAGGGGGAAGCAGTGGGCGGTGTCATGCAAATTCCACACCAATGGAGAGAGAGTAAGAAACATTGGGATGTCTGTGGTGTAGTAAGAGCAGAAAATCTAGGATGGAATTGTCCCTGTATGAAAGCCTTCACTTGGGTGGTGGACAGTGTGGTGTTTGTGGAGGACATTGTCAGGGCTCTTGGACATGTTCATGGTGCTCACATCTGCAATGCCATTGGAGGGAGGGCCATTGGTGTCTTCTGAGTAGTGGGAGCTCTAGCTGTTTGTGGAGGCAGAAGCTTCTGTCTAAGTAGAAAACCTAGTCTCATACATGCATACATATTTTCACTTTTATTATGTGTGTAGATTGTATATCGCTTGGGTACTCTGTGATACCCGGGTTATTTGAAAAAGGCATTGTTTGTTTTGGGGTGAAAGGTAATATCATTTAGTTAATTAGTAACACTATTTGTTAGGGAAAAAAGCCAGTTTTGATTTTTTTTAATGAATGCTCCCACAGGAAAATGCATAAGGATGTGGGTGAACTACAATTCCCAGAATCGTGGGTAAATCCTCCCCAAACCTCTTGTTCAGTTGCTGATCAATTCCTGTTTGCTGTGTACCATAGGAAAGGAAGGGTTAAGGGAAATGCAAATTTCACAGGGGGTGGGGAGAGAAAGGAACTCCATTCTGGAGAAAAAACAGAACATCTAGGATGAAATTATCCCCAAACGAAAGCATTCCTATGGTGTTTGGGGAAGACATTGGCAGGGGTTGGGAGACATGTTCATGGTGCCTACTGTAATCTGCATTGTCCTTTTGAGGAAGGGCTTTTGGTGGCTTTTCAGCACTGTGGGTTAAAGCTGTTTGTGGAGGTGGGAAGCTAGCTGTGTAAGTGGACACCTCCACCACATATACATACACATTTTCTTTCACTTTCATTATGTGTATAATATTATTATTATTATTATTATTATTATTATGTGTATAGAAGATTGAAGATTATTACAATATCATAATCTATTGTTATATATATATCCCACTTTTATGTTATTATAATATAGTATGTAGTCCTGCATTGTTATATATAATAGTCATGTATTATTATTTGTATCCTGCTTTTATATGAGTATAATCGAGTCTATAATATATTAATAATAATAATCTTTTTTTATATCCTGCCTTTCTCCCTAACAGTGGAGAAAGCGCTGTTAGGGCTCACAACCTAATACAACCCCAATCAAAGCACATTTAAGATAAAATACAAAACAAGAATCATACAAAGCATTATAACATCCAGAAATAAGATATAAGTAAATATTAAACATTAAAAAGGTTAAAAACCTATTACAATTATTGTGGAGACCCCTCAACCAGTGTATTTCGCTAAGCTCAGTGCAAATCAACCTTGCTGTCATTAGCAATTGGATTCATTTGTCAAAAGCTTGCTTGAATAGGTAGGTCTTCAACTGGTTCTTATATCATAAAATAATCGTATAATATTACAATAGAGTATATCATAATATATTATTATATACAATAGTTGTATATTGTTATTATATTTATTTGTATCCTGCTTTTATATTTGTATAATATAGTATTTAGTAATGTATTATATCGTAATATAATAAAATAGTATAGTATTACAATATAGTATATCATATATTATATATAGTAGCCATATATTATTATATGTTTTTATAACCTGCTTTTATATTCATATATTATAGCGTAATCATAATATAATAATATATTATTGCAGTCAAGTATATCATATATTATTATATATAATTGCCATATATTATTGTTAGCATATTTATTTGTATCCTGCTTTTATATTAGTATATAGTATAGTATATAATCATATATAAAATAGATGGTATTATGTCATAAAATAATAGTATAATATATTATTACAATGTTGTATATCATGTTATATATATTAGTCATATTATTATTAGCATATTTATTTGTTTCCCACTTTTATGTTGTTATAGTATATAATCATATCTTGTTATATATAATCGTTCTATATTATTGTTAGCATATTTAGTTGTATCCTGCTTTTATATTAGTATAGTATAGTATGTAATCATATACATAATATATTGAATTATATCATAATATATTGAATTATATCATATATTATTACAGTAGAGTATATTATGATATATAGCAATAAAGCTTTATTGATATCCCGCCCCATTCTCTCCAAGGGGACTCAGGGCGGCTTACAACAGGAAACAATGTGCATAATATTAGTCATACTTACAATCCAAAAACGGTTAAATCAAAGCAAATAAATCCAAAAAGACAAATCACAATACATAGAAGAAAAATAACACAACATAAAAATTATCTACAACCCACCAAGAAAATCAAACAAATGCTACGTTCAGCAAAGGACAAGAGGGATCCTCTCACTTTTGCAGGAGTCTACCGTGTAACATGCAGCTGTGGACAAGTCTACATAGGGACCACCAAACGCAGCGCCCAAACACGAATCAAGGAACATGAAAGGCACTGCAGATTACTTCAGCCAGAGAAATCAGCCATAGCAGAGCACCTGATGAACCAACCTGAACACAGCATTTTATTTATGAACACAGAAATGCTGGGCCACTCTCACAACCACCATGTCAGACTACACAGAGAAGCCATTGAAATACACAAGCATGTGGACAATTTCAACAAAAAGGAGGAAACCATGAAAATGAACAAAATCTGGCAACCAGTATTAAAAACTCTAAAATTTCAACAGCACAACAGAGAGGAAACAAACAAGGACATCTAATTACCTCTCAACAAAAGTTTGCTCCAGGCACAGTCAGGCCATTGTATGCTAATCAAGGTGGTCAGTTGAAACATTCGCACCTAGCTCCAGCAGACAAGAGTCCTTTATCTCACCCTGGTCATTCCACAGATATATAAACCCTTTTTCCTAGTTCCTACAGACCTCACTACCTCTGAGGATGCTTGCCATAGATGCAGGTGAAACGTCAGGAGGGAATGCCTCTAGACCATGGC